ATAAAAAGGCGAGTCCCAGGCTCCCAGCTCCATCGTCCGAGTGTCATTGCGCCTAGTCTTTCTCCCAGGGACAAGCACTGATGAAGCCCACCGTGGCGACTCTGATAGGCGCCAGGCGAGTTTCTAGAGAAGCTCAAGTTTGGGTCGGAAGATGGGAAAAGGAAGCCGAGTCGAATGGCCTCCAGTCACAGTGTGAACAGCATTCGAACCGTCGACTTTATCGACCCACTCAGTCGCGATTGAGAAAACGTAAAGGAAAACCTTAAGCTGACAGGGCAGAATGCCAGGGGTAGGATTCGAGAAAGGGAGACTGAGAGGCTGGAGAGTTGAAGCCAGCTGGTTGGTCACTGGGTCAAGGGACTCGAGACTTGAGAGATTGTGTAGGTAGAGCCTCCACAGCAGATCGATTGTGATAGGTGCAGAAAATGAATATCCATCTTGATTTGCTGGTTTGGGAAAAAGATGAACAAGAAATCTGAAGAGGAGAACGAGCGGATCGGATGCAGTGCCTGTACGTAGTCTGAACGAAGGAGTACGTAGAAGGAAAAGGACGGGTCAGATCGCCGTGAACACGAGGTCGTAATGACGATTGTTGTTGTGGGTGCTGTCAAATACCTGATCCAGAAGGCAACACACTTTTAGGTAGTGTCTACGGTACCCATTCAATCCAGCTACATCTTCGACTCTCTCTACTATACAACTCATCTCCTATTTCCAGTGTCCTCAAATTAGCAGAGACAGAATTTTCGCTCGCATCTGACATCGACATCCGAACTTCCGATTTTTCCAGCCGCAGGCTAATCTAATTGGTTTAGATTAATTTTCCTGTTCATCCTCCGGAGATCATTCATCCTTCAGCCCCGTGAGAGCCCGCGATGTTACAGTTTAGGGGAAATGCAAGCGGCGCGACGACGACGGTCTATTGGCAACGCCACCACTACTGAGGAATCGGTGCGAATAGCTTTGCACACTACCGCATCGGCGCATTTGACGCGACGTCCATGGCGCAAATAAACAATCTCTAGAGTTTCGCCACTCAAACAACATATGCAAGCGTCAATCATGGGGTGAACGTCCAGCCGCGCTAGGATGGTTCATTATTTGGTTGAGTTGGGTCCTCTGGAACAGTCGTTGGTCGGACTTGACCAGTGAGGTCCTTTCATACACTGTGGAATAGAAGGTGTTTCAGTCTTTCGGGGGTGCCACAAGGGAAGATTTGCTGCGTTCCGAGTACGCAGCAGGCAGAAAGTGTCAATGGGTCAGTTCATCAATCTGGTGGACTTGGCTGAGACGCCGACGCGTGCTCGAAAAAGCCCTAAAGCGACTAAATGCGTGCCAAGCCGATCGGGCCTGGTTTTTGACTTTCGCTTCTGGCCGAGAAGTGGAGATTTCACCTCGGCTCAGTCGGGAATGGCTGGAGTGAGGCGGTCGGTGGTTGGCGTTTCCGCTGCCAGGGTCAAAGGGGTGGATGGGTGATTGTGTGTTTACGTACCAGGCATATGGGTGACGGTAGGTGCTGGTAACGTTACCGCGGGCAAGGCAGGGATGTCGACAGTCGTCGACTGCACGGTTGACGCACATGGATCTATATGTCAGATCATTATTGACATTGTTCCCTCCTCCACTTTCCCAAGCTCTCATATCCACACAAACATCAACATCACAATCTTCATGGAGCACAACAAGAAGACGCCATCAACAAAACAGATCGTCGTTAATCACCCACCGTCCCCTCCTCGGCCAGCCGGAAACACGGGTCAGTGGCCTAGCAGACAATTCGCTCCACTTCCCAAGGTTCAACCCGTGTCTCTCTCTCTCCATAATTTCTCGTGTCGTCTCTTCGTCGCTGGTTGGATATTCCCACACGACCCAAAGGTCCCAAACCTGTCAGGCTCCATCTGTCATGCCTGTTATGGAAATGGCATCTGTTGGTCCCCGTTTAATACCCCTCCATCGGGCCATGGCCGGACCAGCAACCAAAGAGGAGAGGGAAGCGGGCCTCGAGAGGAAGAGAAGTCCATGACCCAGCCGGTGGGATGAAAAGCCCACTGCGGTGGCCATTGCTGTCCACGGTTTCCCCAATCCTGCTCCCCTTTCTGAGAAACTGTGCCTTCGCAAGAACCACTGTTCATCTCTGCCTGCAGCCACTGCAGCCACTGCATCCATCGCACAGAACCTTAACCCACCGTGCACACAAATATAGCAGTCATGACTGGCGATCAGCTTCTTCGAGAACAGTCCAAGCTCTTCCAGCCCCTGGCCATCGCTAATGGCAAGATCCAACTCAGCCACCGAGTGGTGCATGCCCCTTTGACGCGCAACCGGGGCGAGCCTCTGAACCCGATCAGCACGCCTGAGAATCCCAATCGGATCTGGTATCCCGGACAATTGATAGTCGAGTACTATCGCCAACGCGCAACGCCAGGGGGGTTGATCATCTCCGAGGGCATCCCCCCATCGCTCGAGGTAATCAGATCCGACCCGAGCTTTTGCCTCTTTCGCCATGCGCATCGATGGCTAACCTCTCCGCCAGAGTAATGGCATGCCAGGTGTTCCCGGTCTCTTCACCGAGGAACAAGCCGCAGGATGGAAAGCTGTCGTTGAAGCTGTCCACGCCAAAGGCGGATACATTTACTGCCAGCTCTGGCACGCCGGCCGTGCCACAATCCCTCAGATGACTGGATCGCCCGCCGTCTGTCCCTCCGCCAGTGTCTGGGACTCGCCCACAGAATGTTATTCGCACCCCCCTGTGGGCTCGACCGAGCCAGTGCGCTACGCAGACCACCCACCCATCGAACTGAGCGTTCCCCACATCAAACAGACCATCCGGGACTATTGCGAGGCCGCTAAGACTGCAATGGAGATCGGATTCGACGGCGTCGAGGTCCACGGTGGCAATGGATATCTTCCTGAGCAGTTTCTGAGCTCGAACATCAACAAGCGTACCGATGCGTACGGTGGCAGTCCCGAGAAGCGTTGTCAGTTCGTCCTCGAGCTGATGAATGAGCTCGCACAGACGGTCGGCGAAGAGAACCTTGCCATCCGTCTCTCGCCTTTCGGCCTCTTCAACCAGGCGCGCGGCGAGCAGCGCATGGAGACCTGGATATTCCTATGCGAATCGCTAAAACAAGCGCTGCCCAACCTATCATATGTCAGCTTCATTGAGCCGGTCAGCATCCCCTCTCTCTCTTTGCCTTTCCCTGAAGGCAGCAGACCCCTCTCGCGAAGAGCTCCCCAGCTAACTCTTACGTTATGAATACAGCGATACGAACAAATCTTCTCCGTGGCCGAGAAAGATACCTTCCTCCAAAGCTGGGGTCTCTCCGACGTCGACCTCTCCTCCTTCCGGAAAATCTTCGGCTCCACACCGTTCTTCTCCGCTGGCGGATGGGATCAGACCAATTCTTGGAATGTGCTTGAGTCCGGTCGCTACGACGCCCTGCTGTATGGCCGCTACTTCACGAGCAACCCAGACCTGGTAGAGAGGCTGTACAAGGGGATCCCCTTCACACCGTACGACCGCAGTCGATTCTATGGGCCGTTCGAGGACAACAGTGTCTGCTATGTGGACTATAAGCCCGCCCATGAGCAGGACGAGGCTGAGATCCGTGGGAGGTTGTGAGAGAGACTTATTCTCGACCGATCAGTCGTCTCCTCCGACCTCTCGCAAAGTGTATTGGTTTGTGCTTTGTAGCGTTTCATTAACGAAGAATGATCATGATTTGAATATAAGTTTTTTTTCGCCTTGATGTCGCCTTCGACGAGTCAACCTATGATAGATTCCTGACCACTTGAGGTCTGGGCTTCGAGTTAACTTACTAGGTACTGAAGGAGCGAAGTGTATGAGGAGAAGAACGCCAGGCCTTGGTGCGTTGGCAAGAACGTGACGTGTGGTCTGAGACACGTGCTCGACGCGTCCACCCCAGTACCTTTCTACACCACCATACCATACTCTAGTTATCGAAAATCTCACCAAGAAAAACAAACAATTGTAGGTTGGTACTATGTAAGTATGCCCTCAAAACACGTGGCACATAATCCAATTCCCGACAAACACCTCTCAAAAAAAAAGCCCCCTTATCAATCAATCTTTTCCCCCGCCTCAGCTAGAAACACCACGATCATGCAATCCCAGGGCCCGCCTCCTGCACCGCATCCGCAATCCTTCCCACCCTCCGAAACACCACTAGATTAAAATCCCACAAAATCGATCTCCGAGTTTCCCCCGTCTTTCGAGAGTATTTCTCTCGATCGGAGCCGATATCCAGGGTCCGGTAGAAGGTAACAAAGCCCCTGACTCAGGTACATTCCGGAGTGTATCGGGTTTCGGATCTTTGAGAGGGGCGGAGAGTCAGATGAATTAATATATTTGGGACGGGGGGCCTGAGTCATGTTTTCCATACTGGAAAGGGGGTCTCTGGTTTGAGTAGATTCAGTCAGGGTCACGATTTTGAGCAGTATAGTCTAGTAATTGCAGTTTGAATTGTGGTATACATGAACCTTTCTTTGGTGGTTCGGGGTTTCCGGGGCAGGGGATCGATTGTTAGTGCTTGTTCTTGGAGTTGCGTCGGTCGCGGTGGAGCGGGGGCTGGATATGGGGGTTTGTTGGATTCTCTGATAACAACTAGACTAACTGACCGGTCTACTTCCTTGACTACAGGCGAGGATCGAGGCTATGAGTGTACAGTTGCTCTGCCAGACGGGGATATAGTCCTTGAGGGGGCATCAGCGACCGGAGCATCGGTTGGTAGGCAGGTCGGGACAAGAAATGAGACTGGGCTGAATCAAAAAGACTTGCGGCTAGGGACATCCACTATAACCAGAAATCCTCCATCGACCTTCGAATGAATCTCGCAAAGTGAAGAAACTCATGTCTCATATACAGCATCAGCACGAACAACAATAAGAACAACCAGAACTCAAAAAAAAAATACCTCCCTCGGATCCAAGCCAGTGTCATACAACCCAACATGCAACCAACCACGATGTCTTCCACTCATAATTCAAGAAACGGATATCAAAACCACCACGAACGAGCAAACTATATTCCTCAAGGAATCAGCAACTTCCCTTCTCTTTTTCCGTTACACTATACTCAGACTTATCCACTCACCTTCTGACAGTTTCTCAGTCAAACCCCCTCCGTCCCCGCATGAGCCTGCACCGGATAGAACACCGGCTCGGGCCTCTTCATCGTCGAGTCGTCGGCGGTCGTTTGATGGTAGTACGGCGACTGCCCGTACTGCGCCGCCACCGCCTGCTGCGTCTGATACTGCACGTATTGCTGCTGTTGCTGAAACTGCTGGGCGCGGATCGCATCCTCCTTCTTCTCGCGCTTGCGGTCCCGTCGATACTTGATGAGGAAGTAAATGACGCATCCGACGAAGATGCAGAAGAGGATGGGAATGATGATGACCTTGCCGATGATCTTGGCGACGCCCATGATGTGGACTGGTCCCAGGTGCTGTCCCGGGCTGGTTGGGTACAGATGGCTTTAAAGGTTGTTTATATGGATCTGATGATCAAAATGGCTGACGTGCGCAGAGGCTCGGAGTTGTGCTTGTGCTCAGAGTTAGAGATGCATCCGCTCGGTCGGGGACACTGGTTATATCCCCTTTCCCTTGAGTCAACTCCAACTTCCATCGCTAGGCAATCATATTCTGGAGGCCTGGCAGGGATGGCTCTGGAGTCCGCCAACGAGATCGCATGCTAGTCTTGCTGCTGGGCGCTATACTCCAGGGTGTGATTCGACAGGTTCGATGTGGGTGAGGAGTGAGGGGAGCCAGACATCGACTATGCGGGCGATGGCTGATACATCACAGACGAGGCCCGTCACCTGCATATGAGACGCGTTGTGATCCCAGTGAGAAAGCTTAGCTTGGGGTGAATTGGGAAGATCCTGAGTGCAAGAGGTGAGCGGTTTTCATGTCGGACCAATCATGGGGGTCAGCTTGCCGCCGCGGGAGGGACAGCCCATGCAGAACCAAACCCATAGGGCTGTAGGGCCACGAATGATAGTTGAGAGAGACTGTGATAACCGTGACAAGCAATATTGGTGTCTGCCTGGATCATGGTCGGGCGGTTATGGAAAGAACTTGGAAGAGAGCTTGTGGCCAGTGTGGAGGCCGGATATTGGCTCGTGGAGATTTCCTTGTACTGGAGACAGAGGTCGTTCCTGCTATGCAATTAGATCACTCAAGCGAGGATCTATATTTGTACAACAGGCGATCCGTTCATGATAACAGGCAAAGACCGAAGACTGAAATTGAGAATCAGAATAGTTTCGTTGGTGCGCGACGGTCCCCCCTAGACACAATGGCGTGCATAACACCGTTGAGTATTCTGGAACGACACCAAAGAGACTGATGGGATAGTTCGGTCCCCAAAGCACTCTTTAACAAAGGTAGAGCAATGAGGACCCAATAGTCGCAAATTTCCATCGCTTGCCCCAGGAAGTGATCGGCAGCGACCAGGGCGGTCGTGGAGTCCGCGGGCTCCGCGGAGAACACGGAGGGCACGGAGAGAACGGAAAGCACGGAAAGCAAGCTCACAGTCAAGGACTATGGAAATGGTAGTAAATGGTTGAGTATAAATCTCAGGGGCTATTCTTGCCTTAAGCCCTGGTCGAATTATCACAAGCATCAAAATGTCCGCGATCAGCACTGCTGTCAGGTTCGTGCCATTCATTCATCCAAGCCGAATGAACGGTATACTGACTGACACTCACGGGTTACAGCCAACAGCCCGAAATTCATCGAGCTCGTCAAAGAACAGAACAATTCAAGTCGACCAGCATTTCCAATGAGGATGAACCGATCACTTTCGAATTCGGAGGTGCTCCAGGAGTTGCGCTTCTCATGATTGGCTTTCCACTCCTCATGTACTATATGTACATCGGGGCGACGTTCTATGACGGCCAACTTCCCTTGCCGAACCCCGAAGAATCACTTGCTGAATTTGGATCACATCTCTTCGACCTCGCCTACACACATGCCTTCCCTCATCGCAAAGCTTGGGCCATATACTGGACGTTTCTCGTTTTGGAAGGACTCGGATACCTCTATCTGCCCGGTGTGTATGGCAAGGGAAAGTGCCTGCCACACCTAAATGGCAAGCAACTCGATTATTATTGTTCAGCAGCCGCCTCCTGGTACGTCACCATCGTGGCTGCGCTGGCCTTGCATTTCACCGGGCTTTTCCCATTGACCACCCTCATCACCGAGTTTGGTCCCCTAATGTCCGTCGCCATTTGCTCGGGGTTTCTGGTTTCTATCGTCGCGTATGCCTCCGCCTTAATGAGGGGATGCCAGCATCGGATGACAGGATCGCATGTCTATGACTTCTTTATGGGAGCGGAGCTTAATCCCCGTTTGTTCCGATGGATTGACATGAAGATGTTCTTCGAGGTTCGCATTCCGTGGTACATACTGTTTTTGTTGACCTTGGGCACGGCATTGAAACAATGGGAAGAGCTCGGGTTCGTCTCGGGCGAGGTCGCTTTCCTGCTCATGGCACATTTCTTGTACGCGAATGCTTGTGCGAAAGGCGAAGAGCTGATCATCACTAGCTGGTAGGTGTTTCCAGAAGCTTCAGTACGGGCTGGGCTGATCGAGGCTAGGGACATGTATTATGAGAAATGGGGCTTCATGCTCATTTTCTGGAACCTCGCTGGTGTTCCTATGAGCTACTGCCATTGCACCCTGTATTTGGCGAACCACGACCCATCGATATATCGGTGGAATCCATCGATTGTGACTGCTTGGGCTGCTCTATATCTGTTCATGTACTGGGTATGGGACACATGCAACAGTCAAAAGAACATCTTTCGTGCTCAAGAGAGAGGTGTCTCTGTGACGCGCAGAACATTCCCACAGCTTCCATGGAGGGCTGTGAAGAACCCGGAGTCGATTCCAACCAAGACTGGAGACTCTATCTTGTGCAGCGGTTGGTGTAAGTCAATTCAACTACCGATAAGTTCGGAATGATGGCTGATTTATGGCAGATGGAATGGCCCGAAAGGTGCATTATACCTGTGACTGGTTTTTTGCCTTTTCATGGGGACTGATCACCGGTTTCAACTCACCATTCCCCTGGTTTTACTCCGTATTTTTCACCGTCATGATTATCCACCGTGCTCGTCGCGATATCGAACGCTGCCGGGAGAGATATGGAGAAGCATGGCGCGAGTACGAACGACGGGTTCCGTATTTGTTCATCCCAGTAAGTTGTTCCCACCCACTAAATGTTGACCTCCGACTGACAGCACAATAGTATGTCTTCTGAAGGGTGATTCCAGGATGAGGGAGAAAGGCGTCGAAGACGCGACCGTGGCGTGTGGACGCATATGTATAATAAGTCACATCTGAATAATTTAACTCATGTAATCTGAATTCAAGATATCCATCACCGATCGATTGGCGCCAATGAAGTCGTTCAAGAACATGGAAATGTCGGTCTGGCTCATAAGAGAATCAAAGGTGTTTTCTGGCCAGGAGACATCTGGGAAAGCAATGTTGGCCGCCCCGTGCGCGGCAGGCATGACAAGTGACCCATCCTGGTGACGCTCAATGCCGGACAATGTTTGTCGCGATTTGACTAGAACCTGAGCAGCCTTGACAAATGCTTCGCACACTGTATATAGATGCATTGAACCCCGCGATAGACCCTTGATGAGCTCCAAAGAGCTCACAGTGTCCTGCAGCAGGGCTAGATCCACCGCACTTGCGGTGGTGATTGCGTGGGTGAACACAATGACAAAAGGTGTAAAGGAAGGATAGAGCAATATCCTATACCTGGTAAGTCGAAATTGGCTTCTTAGGTATTAGAGAACGTACCAATTCACGTATTCAGTCTGTTTGTGGGTTTGCCGGCCACGAAAGTATGTAAAGCATTTGAGGTGACTGTGAAGCGCTAACGTAGCGATCTCGTAGCATCGCGATGAGATTGCCATGGCATCTCCTGGTCGAGTCTGGGCCCGATAGATGACAGTCAACACGGAGTAAGCGATGAAATCAGCACAAGCCGCAATGCCGTGCAGGGAGTCAGCATAAAGACCCAAGCTTACGTCGATCTGTGGGCACTGTTAGATATCAATCTTAACAAGACGGAGGCAAGTTTTTACCGTCAGCAATTTATCTCGAACCGCCTCTAAGTCTGAGGAAAGCTTTTCTATCGCTACAGCTCTCTGCTCATCGCCGGCCCGACAAGCAGACGTTGAGTATAGTTGATCATAGACCTTCCCTTGAATACTAGCAAACTCCATGCGAACAATACTCATCAAATCCCATGGACGTTGCTTTGGGTCTTCTGATGGCATGAAGAGATCGGCATCAATATCATGGTCTTGAAAGTGGGACGTCAGGCCGATGTTCAGAGAGATGTTCTTGTCAATCGTATATAGTGCCCAGAAGGCATGACGTTTAGCCTCTGCAATGGGTAGTGGGTCGTTTTTCAATGCTGTACGCCGATGTAGTCCCATGGTTTGGCACATATTGAAAGCTAACGATAAATATGTCCAGCACCGCTGAATGTCAAATTCCTCTTGTGATTTTGTTATCTGTACCAGTCAGACCAAGTCAAGCATGAAAATTGAGCTACTCACTCCAATCAGCAGTGCTTGTATCTTCTCCAAGGTTGGCTCAACCATGATGGCGGGTTCTCGGAGACCTGAGTCAAGCTGTTTTTCACATGTTTCCAGTGCTGATGATAAGTCATAACGCGCGAGGTCAGGGTCCTGTGCATGAAAATAGTCGCGTATTATGTAAAAGAAGAGCCCGTAAAACAGTGTATATGTTCCAGCAGGAACCGGATCGAGTGGAAAGTATATGGAGTGACAAAGAGTCTCTATACGAGATGCATCGATCCAAGACTGACTAACCAACGTGAACGGAGGTTGCGCTAACCTGCGTCAATTGCCAATCACGGGGAAGGAAGGAGGTACGAACAAACCTTTGACTTTCTTTACCACAGCGATGACCAACTCTACAGGAAGTAGTTGGTCTTTTGGCTGAGTGTTGGGCTGCGTCTGCCCATGCGTTACTGATGCGCGATGCCTATCGAGGCTGGTTTTGAGAGACGAAAGTGCTGCTGACACGTAATCGCCTAATTGTCCATTCTGAGAAGTGTCGACAGCAGAATAGGCAGCATCTCTAGCTACGAGGGTTTCATGATGGAAAGATGAGTGACCTTCGAATGGAGGTATCGTCGGTCCCGACGGAGTCGGCTCCCGGGCCGGCTTGACCGGGCTCGATGAGCTGGAAGACCGTGTTATGTTCTCGAGCGTCTTTTGAATCGTGGCAAGCTGTTCCTGCAAGGTAGAGAATCGGTGTTCACTATGAGACAAGTCAGCTTAGGCTGTCCATATTGAGCTCATAGCTTCATACTAGTCATTTGGTATATTGGTGCGAGGCGAGTCCGAAGCAGTCGATTGTCCCCCAACTGGTCTGCACGGTATCCCCAGCGTGCCACAGCTGGAACAGGGACTAGTCTTGTCGCATTTGATCTATTGTGCTGCTGTCAGGGATGGGCCATAAGTCTCATCTGTTTCAAGAGGAATATACCTTGCGAAGACGACAATTGTCGCACTATGAACGGTCAATTGCTATTTCACTTGTATTGAGCAGCGGGACGAGGATGCATACCGCGCGGGCCCGAAAGCTGCGGGCAGTTGTGGGAGTGCTAGCAGCCATACTCACAACAAATGGCTGGTGTTCCTTCAAGTGCTCATACAGCCCAGTACAGTCTTCGGGCAAGCATGAGATTATATGTCTGGTTGCAGAGAACAATTCCTGATTGACTTGCTAGTGTTGATGATATTAGATCTTTGG